GCCTCGGTCCATGGGATTTTCCAGGCCAGGATACTGGAGTGGTTTGCCATTTCCTTCTCCAGGGGATCTTCCTGACCCAGGGATCAAACCCTGGTCTGCTGCACTGCCCTAAACAAAATATATACCACATGCGCGACAAGAGCCTTTCATTCCAGTATCCAGTTACTCTAGTTTCTGACTTAAGGCTTGGCTGTCTACATTCCTAATACCACACAATAGATCACGGAGGCTGAAATCTAGTATTTTTTTCTCTTCCTATGATAAATATCTTTTATTATCATATCTGTGTGCAAAAGACAAGTCATCTTCGTAAAAAGACAAAAAACACAGCGCATTCTTGCTATGGATCCAGGCAAAGGTATGACTAACAAAAATTTCCTCACAGAGGTCACTGAACACTGAGGGGGACTGATTCTAGGAATACAGTAATTGTCTTCTCATGAAGCCAAATTAATCAACTTTGATGATACACTTTAAGTATTAAAACCAAATAAGGCACAGTATGACTCAAAGTTTGTAAGCAGACTAACAGTAATCTAGAGAACATACAATTATTCTGCTGAACATGGAACTGTACCACATTTATATCTTAATCACCATTGGTAATACTCAGAATTATTATGGCATAAAAGATATCGTTTTTCTGAAAAAGTAGTCTGGGAGGCATGGAGGAGAGGAAAGTGACTCAGACTCAAGTGTATTTAAAAACCTTTTCTTCTGTACTAGACACTGGGTCTTTTTCTTTGGTTTCAAAACTGGGTGCATCATCTACAAATGTAATATTAATGAATACAGCATAAAGACTTAAAAAAAAACACGATTATACCAGCAGTTTGGTGACATATTGGTAAAGCTGTTCGGTAAATGCTTCAGGGGAAAACTTCTCTTTCACCCTGTTTCTTCCAGCTAGTCCCATTGTGGCTTTTAAGGAAGGTTCATGGATGAACTTTTCTATTGCTTCTGAGAAGTGCTCTGGGTCAGGGTCACACAGAAATCCTGTGACACTGTGGACGATGGACTCCAAGGGCCCGCCTGAATTAACAGCGATGACTGGGCACTGCATGTACATGGCCTCCAAGGGCACGATGCCAAAGTGCTCATTGCTCGGTGTGTAAAGCACACACGTGCAGCCTCGGAGGAGTGAGATTTTCTGTTCGTCTGAGCAAGACCGAAGGAAGGTCACATACTGACCCAGGTCAGACTGCTGGACCATTTTCTTCAATTCCTGGTAGTGCTGTACGTTCTCTGGGACTCTCTCATCATAACCACCGGCAATGATCAGATGAACTCTGTCCCAATCTTGGGATGCCAATCTTCCACGCAGCTTTACAAGGGCTTCTAGGGCCAAAGTCAGATTTTTCTTCCTTTCATATCTGTTGATGGAGAGGAATATGAATTTCTTCCCCTGGGGGACGATGTCATCGAGCTTTTTAGGAATAGCAGAGTCAAAGCTGACGACATTCAGAGATGGGTAGAGGACGGCAGGGTCTATGTGAGACAGGGACTTGAACGTTTCCTTGAAAACGGCAGCTGTGAATCGGCTGTTGACCAAGATGCAGTCAGCCATGCCCGTGGTATACTCCTCTACCCAGTCAATCGGGGCCCTGTATAGGCGTTTAATAAAAGAATCTCTCCTGGTGAGCAGCAGATCTGGGAAGTGACAGTAAAACAGGATCTTCTTACGCCGTCTGGCCAGCTTGAACACGGGGATACAGGCAGACACCTAGCCAAAGCAAAAATCAGGAGATGAGGTGACTGGTCAACTAAACTCCAGCCAAATCGAACGGACAGACGCCGGCCCTGCAGCCTGGCTCATCAGCCCCTGTGGGCACCGTCGGCTTTTGCTTTCGTTCCCCCAGACTCACCTGGAACAACGCCTGGCGTGCAGAAGGCTGCGAGACATTTTCTGGATACATGCTAAACATTTAAAGTTGCAAGTCCAGTGGTTTCCTCTAGAACAGCACTGCCCAACAGGAATAAAAAAGTCTAGTAACTACGCAATGACTTTGTAAAGGTTAATTTTAATGTATTCTAAAATATTATCACTTCAAACATAATCAATAGTTAAGAAGTTAATGAGGTCTTCTATTCTTTTTTTCACATTAAATATTTAAAATCAGATGTGTACTTTACTCTTAAAATACATCTCAGTTCAGGCTGGCCACATTTCAAGTGTTTAATAGTCACCCGGGGCTAGTGGCTACCACACTGGAGTCACTCTAGAATCTACCTCCTCCTAAGGAACTGAATGAATGAACTATAGTTTAGTGTAGTTTACAGTGGAATCAAGATTGCCAGGGCTTGAATTTCAGCTCTACTGGCTAGCTGTAATTTACCTCTGTGGGCCTTCTTCTGTAAGGTGGTGACAATTATAGTTTAAACATATACAGTTTCTGTCATTATTAAGTGCACTCGTGTTACGTAAACCTGTAAGAATCTAGCTCACACTGTGTGCTCTGCTGCTGCCGCCAAGTTGCTTCAGTCGTGTCCGACTCTGTGTGATCCCGTAGACGGCAGCCACCAGGCTCCCCCATCCCTGGGATTCTCCAGGCAAGAACACTGGAGTGGATTGCCATTTCCTTCTCCAATGCATGGAAGTGAAAAGTGAAAAGTGAAAGTGAAGTCGCTCAGTCGTGTCCGACTCTTAGTGACCCCGTGGACTGCAGCCCACCAGGCTCCTCCGTCCATGGGATTTTCCAGGCAGAGCACTGGAATGGGTTGCCATTGCCTTCTCCGACTATGTGCTCAGTACTTACTGAAATGTTAACCATAATCGTCACAAGAGACTTTCCTTCCTGTTTAGTAATCTTTACAAATCACTTAATCTCTAGCTCACTTAACACCTGAAAAAGGTGAGCTTTATGGATATTGAGAGATTTATTCAAAGCTACTTAGAAAGCAGCAGGTATGGAACTAGAATCCAGGTTGGCCAAGCTGTTTATCCACTAGTCTCAGCTGCCTGATGCTTACTGACTAGTTTTATGTATGTGGATTGCTTGGCAAATGCCCATGTTTCTCAAAAAGAAATAACCTGCACACAAGCAAGGATGACAAAAGTAACTCAGAAGTAACAATTAATACAAACATGACGCCATTTCTACCTGTCAGTCTGGCAAAGGTTAAAATAGTTTACAACAGCCAGTGTGCAGGAAAGCACCAGGTAAAAGGCTCTATCACCATGGGAAACTGGAATGACACAGCCTCTCGGGAAGGCACGTTAGGCAAGCTACTGTCATTTAAGACACACAACCTTTTGACCTACCAGTTTTATTTCTATGAATTTCAAAGACAATGCTTGCAGAAATAAAAAAATAAAAAAAAAACATATATATATAAGGATGTTTATTATGTTTATTACAACCCTGAACTGGGACTTCTCGGTGGTCCAGTGGTCAAGACATTGCTCTTTCAATGCAGGGGGTGTGGGTTCCATCCCTCGTCAGGGAACTAGATCCTACATGTTGTGCAGCGCGGCCAAAAAAAAACACACAAAAAACCCAAAACTGATTTATTCACACAAAAAAACTGGTCACGTTGCTACTGTCCTTTAGCAGAAAAATGTATAAAGTATGAAACGGTCAAACAAAAGCGATTTTCCAGTCACTATGAAGAGTGAAGTGAATCTGTAATACTGATGTATAAGGATGGCCTAAGCAAAACTTTTTGGTGAAAAAGAGCAAGCTGACCAAGAGTAGGGTGTGTCATAATCCTAATTATAAATAAAAAGATGCATCTATAAACAGACATCATATGCTAGCACAGCCACAATTTCTGAATGCATACAGAAACTGTTAACAGTGTCTGTCTTTAGGGAGTGGAACCAGGGTGGGGTTTATACATTAGTCTTTCACAATATTTGAATTTTTAGTCCTGAGTAAATGTTACTTTTTAAAATAAAAATTTTTTTTGGGGGGGGGAGACATAAAAAGGGTCTAGAATAGCTACAGTCCAGATCCAGGTAAAGGGCTTGGACTTTTCTCCAAAGGCTAGTGGGGAGCCAAGTTAAAGTTTTAACAGGCACATGACATGTTGAGCTTAGGGTGTTTAAACACATCCACTACTGAGGAACAGGGTGGTTTGACAGCGAAAGTTATAATGGGGTATGTGTAGCCTGGAAGTGGTGTCAGCAGGAATAATGCCAACAGGAAAGGCATACAAGTTACTGAGAAGTAAAACTTGACTCAAGGCTGGTTTCTAATATTTGCGTTTCTTAGAGCGAGCACCAAGGCCCATATGCTTCACAATCACCCGACGATCCAGTGAAAATGCAGATTTTGGGGGCACACCTCAGGGGCCCAGGACGAAAACTCCAGAGGGTGGGGCCGAGCAACCTGCCACTTCAGCATGTCCACACTGAAGTTGGAGCTCCACGGCGTCACTCCCACTCTAACCTCTCCAGATCAGTTCCCACCTTTCCGAACCACAGACCCAGAGGTCAGCGGAGGTCCTGGGGGGCGGGGGGCACTTGGCAGGTCTGAGTCCGCGGGGACCGCGAGGGTCGGGCGTGGCCGCCTCACCTGGTCGCACACGACCACGTCGAACTCCTCATCGCCCAGGAACAGCACGTAGAGAGCCAGGAAGATCATGCGCACGTAGGCGCAGACGGCGGCGCCACGGCCGGCCCAGCCCAGGCTGCGAGGCAGCCAGTCCCCGGCGGAGCGCACCGGCAGCCCGCGGCTCTCCGCGAAGCAGTGGCCCGGGTCGTAGTGCGCCGTCCAGATCTTCACGCGACACCCGCGCGCCTGCAGCGCCAGCGCGGCGTCAAGCACCAGGCGCTCGGCGCCGCCCACGCCCAGGTCTGGGTGCAGGAACAACACGGTTGGCTTAGGAGCCGAGTCCGCATCTCGGCCCGGCTTCTCCGCCATGGCCCGGAAGCCACGCCTGCGCCACCAGCCTCCGAAGGGCTTCCGCGCAGGCTCCCTGGTCCGGCTTCCCAGCCGGCCCTCGCGGCGCGTGCGTCGGTTAGGCCACATCAGCGCCAATCTGTGGGTGTCTAGTAATTGCCGGAGGAAACTTCTCTTCTGACCATGGCTAGGTCTTCCCACTGGAAGAAACCTGGTTCTAGGAAGGACGTTGTAGCCCACGGGAAAAATACAGGAGGCCTGCAGTTCCCATACAGCCGCTCATCAAACCTCTCGGAGCAGAATTGCTGCAGGCAGATCGCGGGACAGCCCAGGCGTCCCTGGAGTCAGCGAGGGCCCCGCCAGCAGGTCTCGGGGCGGGACCTGGGTTAGTTCTCTGGCTGCGAGGCTCTGCCGCTCCTCCGCAGGTCACTCCAGCTCCCGGCCGCCCTCCTGTCTTCAACATGGTATGTGGCCCCAGCCTCCCTCCTTGCCCCGCTTCCTCCCGGGCGCCCCGATTCCTGCCTCCCGCAGTTTCCTCGCCTTCCCCAGCGCCCCCGTGCGTGTCCCGGCCTCGGCCGTCAGGGCCCGGAACCTGGGGGCTGTCCGGCCGCGCTCACCAGCCTCTCCTTCTCTTCCCTGCAGCCTGGCCCGACCCCCAGCAGCACTAACGTGGGCTCCTCGGGGCGCTCTCCCAGCAAAGCAGTGGCGGCCCGGGCGGCGGGATCCACGGTCCGGCAGAGGTGAGGACCCTTGCGCACTTCTCGGCTGCGGCCTCCTAGGGATGGGGCCCAAGAATTCGTTGGTCTTGAGAAGGAGACTCCGGAATGTTAAGATTTATCAGGGCAAAACGAGCTTCTTGTAATGTGGTCATGCGGGTAAAAAGTTTTTGGTCTGTTATGTCTCGAGAGGGAGACAACATTTTCTTTGCTCAGTTTTGAGTATCACTCCTGAAAAAGGAGAGTTAAACTGGAGTAAGGTCACAGCATTGAGAAAACTGACGTCTTTAAACTGGTATCTTTAGACCCGAGCCTGGCACATTTCTATCTGGAAGTCCCATACACACCCAGTCTAACATGACTCGTTCAGCGCGCAGTTCAGCCTCCTCTCACCCCAGCTCCCGCCCCTAATTATGTCTCCCTGCGTCCTTATGGTACTTTTCGCCCCAAACCAGAACTTCAGCATCATCTTGGATTTTTTTTTTTAATGCTCAGTCTTTATTCAATACACTTATATTGCACACCAAAACCTTCTCGTCAGTTCTTTCCTTCTCCATTTTCTACTGCCTCAGTTTAGCCCTCAGTTTCTGTCATCTAGAGAAATTTTCTGCCTAACTTGTCTCCTCTCCAGGTAATTTGCACTCTGATGTGTCCTCCTCTCTGATTCTGTCACACTGTTGATTAGCTTCAGTGTTAGTTCACTGCAGGGGCCGGGGAGAGGGTCACCAAGACTCTTTGTGGTGCTTTTTTTCCCTCCAGTCTAACTGATTCTCTTCTCTCTCTATGATCTAGCAACAGTGAGTTATTACTGTTTTCTGAACTCGCTGTTTCTTGAACCCCTCCAAGTTTCTGTATATCTTGAAGACTAGGCTCAGAGGTTATTTCCAGGAGAGGCCTTCCTAACTCCAAAGGCAACAGTAGCTGCTAGTCTTCTGTTTTACTTCCAAGCGTTTTGTTCATGCCCTTCTAATAGCATTTGTGTTTCGATATGTATCTCCTTCCTTAGACTTTGATAGAAACTGCCTGTTGTCTCTGTCTTACCATAAAACAACAGATGACTGAAGGAAGGATTCAAACCACCCTGTAGTCTTGGGATTTTTTTTGGAAGGGGGGTTGTTATCTAGAGAGGAAAAGAACTTGAACAGATACCTGAAAACTGTCCTCAAGGAGGTGACGAGGTGATGAGGGATGGGACTTTCCTTACTGACTGCAGTAAGCCTAAAACTGATGACATGAACTCACCTGAGACAGTTCATCTTAGAGCAAAAAAAAAACCTTTAGTGGAACTGTCAGAAGTGCTAAGATGATCCTGACTCATTGTGCCCCGTCATCAAGATGTTCAAGGCCAGGCAGGGACCGTCCAGCTGTGCTGTGGGTTATTCGGCCCTGGGTTGCTGTCTTGTTTCCACCCTGGGTTTCAGAGAGTCTTGGTACCGGAATGGAAAACACGTACGGTAGGTACAGTTCCTTGGGGAATGGGTCTAGTTAATGAGAGTTAGTAGTATTGTGGCAGGGAAGTTGGGCCATCTGAGAACTTTTATAGGGCAAAAAAAAAAGAAATCATGTACTTATTAAATACAACAAAATTATTTACTTAACAAAAATGAAATAATTGCTGCACAAGTGAAATGGAGAAACAAACATTGGAGGATGTATGTAGTGTATCAAGTTGTGGGTGTTGGTGTCATCTTTAGAATTCGGTGTAGCTGGGGCCAGTGTAACTGGATAGACCATGGTTGTACTGAGAGACCCTGCAGGGTTCCCTTCTAGAATTTTGGTACTCTTTTAAGTGTTACTTCATGAGTGTGATATAATAGATATTGGCTGTCTATGAGTATGTTCCCTTTCTGTGAGTTTGTAAGAAAAAGTTGAAGCTAATAGTAATAGTGCTATGCATTATATAGCTCCCAGATTTGCAGTTTGTCTCCATGTTCAATGAGGTAATAGAGGTAGTACCTTGGAGAAGAAACTCTGGGATTTAAGGTCAGGCCAGGGTTAGAGTCCTGTCTCTGTTGTTACCATGTAAAAGGAAGTTGCTAGGATGCAAAGGAACAATAATGCATTATAAACTGTGAAGCTGTAGAAGCTACAGTATTCAGGATTATTGGGAGTCAGGGATAGTAAGATGATGGACTAGCCAGGGGTATTAAGGAAGTGATCACATGGGTACTTGAGGGTGCATGCCAGGCTCTGTTCCTGTCATGAGGCTGCATCTGTGGAGAAGCTAGATAGGGTTTGACCTTGGAACCTTATATTCCAATGTAAGAGACCATAGCCAAGGCACATATATAATTTCAGGCAGTAGGGGCAAGAAGAAAAGTTGGGTGTAGAATAGAGAGTGGGTAGGGATAGGGTGTTCAGAGTAGGTGACATGTGACTTGAAACCTAAAAGACGAGGGAGCAGATCATGTCGCGGAATAGCCAGAAGACCACCAAGTTAGAACAAAGTATGTTAAACGCTGGTGATGAAAACCGTTGTGTTAGGGTATAGAAGAGCCAGTGACACAGTGGCCAGAAAGAAAGGGTAAAATAGACCCCAAAGAAGTTGAGTTTAAAATTAAAATGTCCTGTGTGCCAGCAGATGTAAGAAATCTCCAAAGAGGCTAGACTGATTCCATGAGGGGGTGGGGGGCTCCTTGAGATGTTGAAGATAGGAACTGGAATAGGGTGGAAGTGGGAGTAGTAGAAAGTACATGGGTCCTAGTCTTGGCTCAGCGGAAGGCTTGTCAGGTCCACATTGGGTTTATCATCTTGTTCAGCTTTCATGTGCTTACTCCACCGAGTAGATGATGTGTATCTGTATGTGAAAGATCATCTGGGTATGAATTAGTCTGTCAATCTCTGTGTAATTATATTTACAATCAGTTTTCCCGTAGAAATAGTCATACAAATGGAGTTAGAAGTTCGCAGCTGACCACACGGCCTGTGATTGACATGCCCGAAATATAATCTTTTGAGTACAGTGCACTTAAATCATTGTTTGACGCTGTTTTTAGATTTCTAACATGAACGCAGCTCTTTTTGCCAGAGCCCACACTGGAGCCACGACTCCATCCTTCACTCAATGCCGCAGGGCAGGCTCCCAAGTGCTTCTTGCATTCAGAATGTGGGGTGAGGTCCGTGGTAAGGCGAGGTGGGAGCAGGATCGGAGTTTGGAGGACAGAGAAGAGATGGTGGGGGTAGGGTGTTCACTTTTGTTCTCTCCCTGTATGCCTGTCTTCTCAAAAATCCAGAACCAGCAGCCCACAGATAACCGGAGCAGGATTTTGAGGATTTGGTTAATGGTGGGGGGCAGTGATAAAACAGGGCTTTCTATCTCTCCTCTTCCTCTCGCCTTCCCTAGAACTTATCAATTGGTGATAAATGGGCTGAAGCAGGTTTCTTGTGACCTCTCTCACACTTACTACTTCTTTTCGAGGGGTCCCACTCTCACTCTGGAGTGGAGATGGGAAGTGGAACTGGAGTGGGGAGCTGCTGGGGAGGGTTTCCAGCGCCCCAGGCGGGGCGGGAGGGAGTCCCTGGTCCCTGCCAGCCAGTGGCATTGGTGCTGCCCACACTTCTGTATGCCATGGCTGCCTGCCCCCCACAGCTCACTTCACAAGCTTGGTCCCCCTTGTGAGGGATGAGTTCTGGTTGGGTATTTCCTGCATTTTCACATCCTGCCTCTGTCTGAGATCTATGGTCACTATATCAAAATAATGAAAACAGACTAGAAAATAATTTTTCAACAAATGTGTACTCTTGTTTTGAGACCTGGATTACAACTTATGGTTTTGTTGTTTTTTTTTTTTTTTTGGTCTCTTTTGTAGAAAATTCAGTAATTTGAAAAGATTTTAAAGCAGTCGTTTTAAAATCTGAATCGTTTTCTGGGTTATTATATGCATCAGCCTATGGCAGGCACTCAAATTCTTAATGGTTATCCTGATCAGTGGAGGCAAAGCAAAACTTTGGAAGGTATTAGCAAAGGAAAAGTTAATTTTTTGGTTCTTTAAAAATATAATGGTAGCGTATGTCATAATGTTCTGATAAGGGTTTCCAGGAAAAGGCCGTTGGTAACACACTGTTTTCTCTCACAGGAAGAACGCCAGCTGTGGAACGAGGAGCGCGGGCCGGACGACCTCGGCGGGCACCGGGGGGATGTGGCGATTCTACACCGAGGATTCCCCGGGGCTCAAAGTGTGAGTCTTGGCAGCACACCGTGCTTCTGTCCGGGTCGCAGAGCCTTTCGGCAGCACTGTCTCTGCCCCCAGTGGGGTTTGCTCTGATGAGGGTGATAATACGCAGCCGCTTTCTCTGCGCCAGGCGGGCTGGGTTTGGTTGGTTCATGTACCGGCCAGTTACTTTAGGGCTCAGAATGACATCCGTTCACGCATTGAGTGAGAGCAGGGCGACACCTTCATGTAGCTCTGTCAGAATAAATGATGGGAACAGAGAGAACCGGAGGGAAAATGGCTTAATTAGATGAAATTGCTCTTCATTTGCTGTTCTTGTCCCACACTGAGAGATAGGACTAAGCATTTGAAGAGGAGTTGGGTGGTTTTTCATAGCTCTCCTGGAGGCATAAGCTGATGTTATTACAGCCTAATGGGAGTTTCTGCATTAGGTTGTGCTGAAAAGTTCTTAGGCCTCCTTTCTTTGGTGGATGGTGATTGGACCCCTGTCACTTTCCACGTCCTCAAGCCCGGGACTGCTCCGCACGCCTTGCTCACTTCCCTGTCTGGTACCTTGCGGCGGACCTGACCCCGAGGGTGTCTGACCAGGTGGACTCCTGGGCCCCGCACTCTCTCTGTTAGTCGCTCAGTCGTGTCTGACTCTTTGCGACCCCGTGGGCTATGGCCTGCCAGGCTCCTCTGTCCATGGGGTTCTCCAGGCAAGAACACTGGATGGAGTAGGTTGCCATTCCCTTCACCTGGGGATCTTCCCCACCCAGGAATCGAACCTGGGTCTCGCACATTGTGGGCAGATTCTTCACCGTCTGAGTCGTCACAGAAGCCTGTGGATACCACTACAGCTGTTGTCTGACTAAATTCAGCGCATGAGGAATTGGAATAATGACGGCAGCTCCCGTTTGTATAGCACCTCAGGCTCAGGGAAGCAGAGCTCCCTGTCAAAGACCAGCAGCCAGAGGTGGAACCAGCTCTTCCGACTGTTAGACTCCATGCCATCTGTTCGGCAACACAGAAGACGAAAATCGGCTTTATTTGGCTTAGTTTATTTAACTGGACCAGTAGCTTGACCTGGATCACAAATTTAATTTAGGAAGACTTCCCTAGAATTCTTGAGATTTGGTTTTATTTATCGAATTTTTTTTTTTCTGTTACGATGAAGACTTGTAAGGTGAGAACGTATTTTAAGGAAGTAATTCTCGAGGTTGGGGGTATGTGAATTCTGGTCCTTGCTAGAGGTAGTTTTTCTGAGCACTTCAGAGAGAGTTGGAAACCCGTTGCTCTTCAGGGTATCCTGGGAACAGCATTTCAGCCCTTCTCAAGGAGGTAAAACGACTGTCCTCATGTGGGTGAGTCTTGACTAATGCTTGCTTTGGGCTCTTGCGCAGTGGGGCTTGCTGCTGCTGTGAGTCCTCCCAGGAAGCCACAGAAGCCATTCCTTTGAAGTGTCATTAACCGCAGTTTTGCCATACCACAGAGAGAGGTTTGTGGTGACGGGACACAGATCCACATCTTGGAGCTTGTTGGCTCTTCCTGGGAGTTAGAAGTTTTTTCAGGTTGATGATGATAGCATTTCCCGGGAGCTTACTATCAGCTTGACTGGTGTGTGAGTGTGTTTAATAGCTCAGCAACCCTATGAGAGAGATGCTGTGCGTATCCCCACTTTACAGATGAGGAAACTGAGGCTTGGAGAAGGTGAGTCACAGTCACAGCTTGTGAGGGCCAGAGCTGGCTTCCAGGCCCCAGCGCCTGGACTGTGAGCGCTGCCCTCTCAGCTTCGCGCTCTCTGCCTGATGTTACTGTAACGGTGCTTCAGAGTGAGGGAGTGTGATCCAGCGCATGGCGATGATGATGTCTTCCTGTGGACGTTTTAAATTACTTACTCTCACAATTGTACAAATTTTGGAAGAACAACGTTGTGTACTAGGGACTTGGACCCTGTGCGTTGATTATTGTCCACTAGTGGATTGACTGTCGACCTGCTGCTCCGCCGGGTTATTCCACTGCCTTAATTATAAAGACTCCTGGGGTCTTTGTCCACCCCCAGCTATATCTGAGAGATGAAGTGACATCTTGAATTCTCCAAAACTGGTGTTTTCAAGAAGAGTCAAAAACGCCAGGCCCGTAACCTTTGACTGAAGTCAACATTCACAGGTTGTGTAAAACCAAGGAGTTCTACCTTTAAGAAACCCATGTAGTAATTCTTAACCTGGAAAACATTTGATTTAGGGAAGGGCTGATGAGTAAAATCTGTTGATACTTCCTTTATGGTAAACTAATAAAAGTGAAACTTTTTATGTTGCCTAGAATGTTTGTTCCTGAAATATGGGAACCTTAAAGCAGTAAAATGAGTGATGTATGGAATCAGAAAAGCTGAGTTCAGATCCCTCCTTTCCATTCTGGCTCTGTTTTCTGAGGCAAGTAATCTCTCTGAGCCTCAGTTTTTCTTCCTTATGAAATGAGATGAATATTTGTTTCGCCTGTGTCTTGAGTTTGTTGATCATACAGGATCATATATTTTAAAATACTTCATAACTTATAATGTGATATTCATCTTTGAATGCCTAGTTTATTATACTTAGACAATGAAGGTTGTCTTTATAATTTGAAATAATAGTTTGATAATTGGCTCATTTGCACTTAAAGAGTTTGCGAAAATTTTTAAATTACTTTTAATTATGGAAAAATATCAAATGCACAAAATCAGAGAGACTAGTATCTCTGAGACAGATCCTTTTATCTGTATATATTTTAGTATGTTTTATTAAAAGATAAGGATTCCTCCTTTCTAAATAACCACAATGCTATCACCACACCCTCAAAATATCCACAGTAATAATTTTTGGAATATTTTTAAACGATCTATATTATATTCTTTGCTGGATCTTGGGTGCTTTCCGCTCCCTTTTCCTCTAGGCCGTCTTTAATATTACAGATATTATAATGTATTACTACTGAAACTAAGCATGCCTTCTTTTCTTATTTCCAGGGGCCCTGTTCCAGTATTGGTGATGAGTCTTCTGTTCATCGCTTCTGTATTTATGTTGCACATTTGGGGCAAGTACACTCGTTCATAGATTCGGCTACATCCATCTGTCTGTCATCTGAAGAAGAAAGGAAAAAATCCCAACATATTTTGGACCAAAAACATAGTGATTTTCTGTTCATGAGGAAGAAATTTTCTGCAAGCTTAACTGTTTTACAGGGAACTTAATAAGAATGAAAGAATCCATTTTTTTTCTATGGCTAATAAACTTTTTAATTCATTTATACCAAGTCTTATTGCTGATGCCTGACTGCTAGGGCACTTAGTCACTCTGCCTTTAGATTTACAAGTAAATACGTAGAAATTGTTTTGTGGAGATTTTTTTTTGATTGGATTGACAGTTTCTTACATGACCATGTAGTCATTCAAATCCAAGATGCTGTAATTGGCCTTGGCTTGTTTACTTCTAGGTATTTCCATCCTGATGATTGTCATTTTGAGTGTTCTGTGGTTTTCAAGGAGTGTGCCTATGACTCCATCAGGCAGATCTGTGTTCAGAGGCAGCTGGTACCCAGCGGAATCGTCATAGAAATCATCCAGAAATCTTGGATGAAATGTTTGCTCATTCTGTTCTTTGTCTTTAAAGCCACAGATAATGTTTTTGCCTTTTGTTTTGTTTAGTTCTTAATTCTGTGAGTCTAGATGAGGGGTTTCCATCTATTTTATCACTTGTCAATAAACCCCTTTTGAAATAACTCATTTGATAAATTGGATTTCTTGTATAAAACTTTGTTTCATTTTGAAAATTAAAGACCTTAATAATCAGTGTGAGATACCAGAATTTCTAAACTGAGTTGTTAACGATTCTAACCAAAAATAAAAGTTTCTGAAGTGTCACTTAGCTTATATTGCCTTCTGGCTATCAGCCTTCAGTTTCTGATAGACCCTAGGAAATACCAAGAGTAGCTCAAAGGTGTACACTCCGAGTCTAGGACTCTAAGCCAGAATTTTTGAAGATTAAGAGATCCATGTGAAACACCCTAGTTATCCAGTAGAATGTAAAACCCCCTAGTTGTCCAACAGAATCACAAAATGATAAAGAAGTATATTAGTTTTAAAAAACTGGTAATTTGGAAAACCTCTTTCTCTAAGCTTATTAAAATTTTTTTAGAAGAGGTAAGCAGTTTCATAAGTGTTTTTCTTATATCCTGGCTGAAAGTAATTTCAGGTCCAAAGTGCCAAATTTAAGTGGTGAAAGTGTGTATCTTCCTCAGGCGATACATGGTGAAGTGAAGTCACTCGGTTGTGTTGGACTCTGTGACCCCGTGGACTGTAGCCCGCCAGGCTCCTCCGCCCATGGGGTTCTCCGGGCAAGAGTACTAGAGTGGGTTGCCATTTCCTTCTCCAGGGGATCTTCCCGACCCAGGGATCGAACCCAGGTCTCCCGCATTGCAGGCAGACGCTTTAACCTCTAAGCCACCAGGGAAGCCCTAGGCAATGCATGGGTGAGTATAAATTCCCGGATGGCTCAGTGGTAAAGAATCCTCCTGCTAATGCAGAAGACACAGGAAACGATGGGTTCGATCCCTTGGTTGGGAAGATCCCTGGAGAAGGGAATGGAAACCCACTCCAGCATTCTTACCTGGGAAATCCCATGGACAGAGGAGCCTGACCGGTCCCCCTAGTCCATGGGGTTGAGAGTCAGACACGACTGAGTATGTATGCATGCATACTTTTATAAATCCTAACTGGTGGCAAATTGTGATTCCTTCTGATCTTGGGAATTGATTACTGCACGAAATAAGTATCTTCATTAAGAGGAAGAAGTCTTAGTTTCATTCGGAAGAAATGAAAGATGATAGGATCTATAGTGGAATTTTTCTTTTTCTGATATTCATGTTGACAGTACCATGAACAGTTAAAAGTCACACATTTAATTTGGAAAAGAAATCTGTTCCTCTTGTCTGGAGGATTTTCTCTGGGGGAGATTCTCAAGCCACTTGGGGGAGCTGTTTGGTTGTGAGGGGTGAATTCTCTGCACTGCGCTGCCGTTAGCCGCCTCTGCAGAGCGGTGGTCTCTAGTGGCCTGATTGCTGAAAGTCACTGACTTTTCTGAGCCAGTGATTTTTAAGAAAATACTAGTTTTCAGTGGCAGAGCAACATGCTTCATTCAACAGAAGGAACAGTGGGGGTTGGGCATAAAAATGTACAACATCTATTATGTAGCTGTTTTTGGCTCTGATGATACAATGCTAATACCATAGCTGAGAGTCTTCGTGTTCAAGCTGTTCCTTTTTCTTTTTTTCCAATTTTAAAAATTGTGGCAAAATACACATAACATAAAATGTGCCACATTGGCAGTTTTTCAGTGTGCGAGTCAGTGGTCCTGAATACATTCACATTTTTGTGCGACCATCACCAATATCCATCTCCAGAACTCTTCCATCTTGCAAAACTGAAACTCTAAACTCACTAAAGAATAGCTCTGCTTCCCCCACCGCCCTTCCCCTTAGCCCCTGGCAGCCACCGTTCTACTTTCTGTCTCTCTGAATTTGACTTGCTAAGTACCTCATGTGAGTAGAATCGTACAATATTTTGTCCTTTTATGAATGACTCATTCCACTTAGCATCATGTCCTCAAGATTGATCTGTTTTAGCATATGTCAGAATTTCCTTCCTTTTTAAGGCTGAATAATATTCCATTGTGTGTATATATCACATTTTATGTTCCTTTCTTTTTAAATAGGGATTCTTAGACTTGTTTCTTGAGTCCTAGGGGATCATGAGCCATTTACAGTAATTTCAAAAACCTAACAAATTGGACATTTACCTGCATTGAGGCTGCCTTGGCTCCCCAGATCCTCAGGCTTTCCTGACTGTGGGATAGAATTCCAGCCATCACTGAAGAGACACAGCCGGTACATGCTGAACAGAGCTCTTGAGTTTAAAACTGGGAAAGTGAATTACCTGATAGCTGCAGTTGGAGCTGGGCATTTTAAGTCACTGGGAAACAACCATGTGAGGAAAAGGGCCCAGGAGTCCCTAAGGCTAGTGAAGGAAGGAGAGACTGAGATTTCTGGGCCTGACAGTGCCTTGAGTGCCTTCCAGTAAAACAGTAGATGAGAAGAAATCTATTCCCGGGAGAGGCGAAACATCTTACATAGTTTCTGTTTTCACACCTGTCTTAGTCTAGACGCCACTTCTTTTTTTTCTTCTCCAGGTGCTAATATCCTCAAAGGAAGAACTGGAAAAAAAAAATTCTGAAATGCAAATGTTGGCATCAAGTTAAAATGACTGAAAATGTCCACAAAGCTATTTCAGCAGGAAGCACTGTAGTGTGGAGTTCCTGGGCACCTGCTGCCTTGCTCCTGATCCTCTAAGCTCCTCCCTGGGGAACCCCAGAGCTGCACTGCCCTGTCCCTCAGATGCTGCAGCAGGCGGCTTCCAGTCAGGACGAAGCTTGTTCCACTCTCTGGGGGGACTCCTGGGACTTCTAAATTCACTGTGCTTACTGCCCCATCTTCCAGGCTTGGACCGGGGTCCACCTGCTGGCCCTGCCAGTTATCAGACGGGAGATCATGAGTGTCTCTCGTCCTGGGGGTCTCGTTTTCCTTAGCTGTAAATGACTAACGTATGGTAATTCCCACCAAAGAGGAGGTCCAAATGAGAAGGAAGATCCAATGGTTGCTTTGTTAATTAGCTAACAGTTAATGAGTGCTCATTCTCAGTAGTTTTAGAATTTGTTTTTTTATTTAATCAACAACCTAATGAGGAATTTACTATTTGCCCCATTTTACATAAGGGGAAACTGAAGTTGAAACCATTCTGCTTGTAAGTGGAAGGGTTGGGATTTAACTCCAGATCTCTGACTTACTGACTGGAGTCACATAGATAGGGTTATTAAGTACTTGGGTTGAGGGCCAGGGAAGGGTATCACAACAACAGAGCTTTCACACAGAGCTCTTAAAAATAACAGAATATGGGGCTTCCGTGCTGGTCCAGTGGTTAAGAATCTGCCTTGCGATGCCAAGGGACACCAGTTTAACCCTTGGTCCGGGAACATCCCACAAGCTGCAGGGCAGCTAAGCCCGCGTACCACACCTATCAGCCCAGGAGCCTAGAGCCTGTGCTCCTCAACAAAAGAAGCCTGCAGCCCGCAACTAGATGGCAGCCCCTCCACAACTAGAGAAGGCCTGCATCAGCCACGAGGACTCACCCACCAGACAGAAAATAAATCTTAAAAAACCCAAAACCCCACAATTCCAAGAAAGCACCCACTATCATTGGGTGCACTCCAGGAGTTTCCCAGCTTCAGTTCTGGTTCTGCGGAAGTTGCTTTCTCTGCTCCTGTCCTGAACCCTGCTCATTCTCTGGAACTCTTGCTTGTACAGAAAGCATAGTGTTTATTCATTCAACAAACACGTACTGATCACTGTGTGATGTGCCTTTCAACTGGGGTTTCGGAAGTGGTGAGGCAGCTCATTGGGCATTTGGGTGTTAGGACCCCAGTACCTCCCAGGGCCCCAAGTTCTACAATAGCTGTGCGATTATGGATAAGACAGACAGGGAGTACCTTCAAGGGCCTCTCAGCTACTGGTGAAATCAGTAGTTGGGACCACAGCTTAAGAACCAGGATGCTCACAGCGTGTGGGCAGTGGTGTCAGAGACTGCAAAACTGGAACTGGCTTCCAGGAAATCTACACTGTGTGGTCACTTGTCTGACACAGGAAGACGGGGATCCCTGGGACACTCCAGCTGGAAGCTCTGAGAGTTCGCTGTGTTCTCCTCATCCTACAGCAGAGTTCTGAGGCCCCAGGGAGAGGGGTCACCCGAGACGGTGCAGGAGGTCTAGCAGAGCAGAGGCCAGAGCCAGGCTTCCTGCTTCCGGCCCAGGCTCTCGCTCAGAGCGGCACTGTAAGCTTGATCCGGGTCCTCCGCATAAGCCAGCTCCCGTCTGGAGGCTGGACTCTGCGACCAGAGGTGGGCTTTGCTGGGTAAGCCAGCTGGGTAAAGCTGGGTAAACCCAGCGGTGGGCTTTGCTCAGCGGGCAGTGTGAATCAGAGGGAAAGGAGTCAAAGCAGCAAGGTCAGCTACTGAGAAATAACGCTGGTGAATTTGGGAGAAAGTCAGCAAGTCCATAAGACTTGACGGGGAGGCAGGAGAGGCAGAAACAGCCAGTAGAACTGCACTGTTCTGTGTCCCTGTGACCACGGGTGTGTGAGCCAGAAACAGCAAGACTGACCAAGCGGGGGTAAAGTAAGAGCTGGACTTTTAAACACTACTCCTGCTTGCTCTGGCAACTCGGTCTCCTTCCCATGCTAAAGATAAAATAAAATATGCAAATTAAACTAAATAGGATTCAAAGGTAGTCATATCCAGTCTAGACGGCTCCATTTTGGGAAAGGTCTGGAAGTCTGTACCTCGTAAAGCAAATGAAGACATGAGAAAAACTTGAATTATACATGAAAGGGTTAAATTGGTCCTGTGAACATACTTGCTTTTCTCCCTGTTGACTGGTCTTCGGCGATGCAGATGGTAAATCCTGTCCCTGCTGGTCCCTGTGGTCTCAGCTCTTCTACTGGATAATATACATAAGGTGTTAGCAAGATCCCCTGGAGGAGGAAATGGCAATCCACTCCAGTACTCTAAACTGGAGAATCCCCATTACAGACAAGCCTGGCGGGCTACTGTCCATGGGATCGCAGAGTCGGACACGACTGAGGTGACAGCATGCTAGTAAGAGAATGGAAGCTCATTCTCCTAGGGCCCAATCTAAATTGATCTGGGGTGTAGAATTTAAATAGGGGTTCGCAAAGTTGGGCGTGCACTGGAATCACCTAGGGGGAACCTGCTTCTGCTCCCTGGCAGGCCTGGCCTGCCTCAGACTGGACGTCCTG